GAAGTAGCTCGATACACTTTACGGTATGAAATACGCGAGGCTTTCGCGGTACATTACCGAGAGAAATTTTCTTTATAATGGCGTTTCAATAGAGAAAAATTCGCCGCATAAGGTAACGTTATAAAACGTATTTTTCTTTACATTACCTCGTGACAGGAGCATATTTCACGAAAAGGAGAGACGTATTCGATACGCTACCTCAAATCGCCTTCTTTTCACTTGGATACCCTCTTTGGCCATTGCTATTTCCGTTTCCGTTGATGTAACCAATACCTTGTAGATATTGAATTATTAACAAGAAAATGTAAAACAGCTGTTCGGTATAATTTTAGTTACTCGTTTCAATGCTTTTGAAATAGTAGAGTGATTGACTTTACAGAAAATACATTTCTTATCAGACAGCATATTGGAGGTCATTTTTATCCTAGGCAACGTTACAATATGGGAGGTCGTAGAAAAATCGAATGCTATCATGGCACCAGATGATGCTGGTAATAAAATCTGTTTTGTTGGCCTCTTCCAAAGTCGTGCATCGTTTTCTGATTCATGCCATTCTTGACTACAAAAACCACGATGAGAACCATGTGGAAAAGCTTTTGTTACCAGCAAATAGGCACTGGATATTAATATTTTTGTAATTAATAAATAAAATTATGAAACCGAGTTGGAAATTTAATTTTTCATCAGAGTAAACTCATGGTTATTTAAAATTTCAAAAGGATCTACTAGAAGTTCGTACACTGCAATGGCAATATTGAAACTCATCCGTAGCATATAAAGTTCGAAACGAGTGGAAAACGAATATTTCACCTTTTCGAAAGTAATATTTACTCGCGCTTCGCTCGGTCGCAATTCAAAGGTTCCATTCAGCGAGTTTTTAATTGCCGACCAAGGCAATCGAGCGTGTCGTAAATTTGTTCGAGACGAGACACGATAAGTTCTGGCTGGTTGGCCAGCAGCCAGTAACTCGTGTAAACGCGTGCATTCGAAAATGCTGAAGAATCGCCGGCTAAAAGTGTAATCTATAGCTCGGTACGGGCATCAGGAGCACAGAAGGCTCGTCGTTCGATGAAAGATGCATGAGGCTTTTCTCACGCATCTGTTCGAACCTGTTGGCGTTGGTCCAACTAGTTTTATCCCTCCTGAAAGTTTGACGTACGATAATGTATCCACGTGGAAGCCTGAGAACTTGATATATCTTCACCCTTCTCCCTCTGCTTTTTATCGTCGCCCTTGAAATAGTAACCGATAAACGAACGATTCGATTCTTTTCATTGCAAATCTAAATTTAGCGTTAGTATAATAATTATACGAAATTTTAGGTAGAATTAAAAAAAATTAAGTTTAGTAAAACTTTTCATTAATTTTAAATAAAACTTGTAATTGCAGTGTGGTATTAGATAAAGATTCCCTGCATTTTTCAAAGATCCTATCGAGTCGACTAGCAGACGGCTAATTTAAAAGAAACAAATAAATACCGCCATTACGATGCTCGACAAGTAGAAAGTGTACGTGATAAATCAGACAGTGGTAAGGCAAGAAAAGGGAGGATTGCAGAAGACGTTTCATTAATTCAAAGGTTTTCCCGGCCGTAGGGAAAGCCTCATCGTACGGTAAATTGCAATTTTATGCAACGATAGAGAAATCGGGAAGAAACAGCGTAAATACCGTATCGATTTTATTCGAACGACCCACCGCGGCGATCTTAACTCGTCGAGAAAGTCTCGTTTCTCTTGCCAGGTCCTTATCATTCTTTCCCTCTGCGCTCCTTTTTATTGCTTTTATCATTCTACCAGTTAAGAATGTCGAGATTGCGACTCATTCTTCGAATTTAACGCGGATACTGTTTCAACCCCTATCTCGAACACCCTCGAACGCCACCCTCGACCTCTCAAAACCCTTTATTACCGAATCGAACAACAGAGTTCGTTATTCGAATAAAATAAAATTGTTGCAGAAACACGAGTAGTAAATTATTTTGTATCATTAAAAATATCATATTTAAATTTATATTCTATTCAAACATAAAAGTTATGTTATATTTAAAAATTGTATTTTTAAGCATGATTGGAATGATTAAGCAACCATAATTATATAGAAATTTTGCAAACATTTAATTTTTAATGGTATACGCAGGTAGCTGGATCTGATACCAACATTCATTTCTCCTCTAAGCTTGCTAGCAACAAATAGCAGCATTTATTGTTGGATTTATCTTGATTTATGTAAGCAGATAAATATGACAGTACAAGCAGAAAGGAGCATACGAAGATTAGACTCATACATTTTTACTAGAACTACCTGTCACATAAATTACCATTTTCTGGAACCATAAAAGCAAGCCTACTATAAACAATAGGAACGTCAGGTCACTTTTAGCAATAAGACAAGTATTAACTTGATACAAGTGTACCATATTTCTCAGAGAAACATAAATACAAAAATTTTATATTTTATAAGAACGTAGTTAAATTCAAAATATTATAATAACATTTCGAAATTAAATAATTTAAAAATTGTTTAAAATATTCCAAGAGGAATGACTTTTTTCGAATTCTGTTATTTTAAATCTAAACCCAATTCAACACCGGAGAAGAACGTTGAAAAAATATCGAAACAAAACTGAAAATATCCGACAGGTGGACATTCGAACAAAAAAAAAAAAAAAAAAAAAAACAAAAAAAAAGAGAAACAAATTCGTCGAGTGTCGCGTATCACGCGCGAGCCGATGAAAGCAGTCCCTCGAGTAATTAAAAAAATTCGAATTGTTCTCGACGTGAGAACTTGCAGCCGCGACCAAGCGAGAAGCATATGCTTTCCTTTTCTTTTTATTTTTATTTTTACCTTTTTTCTTTTTTTTTGTCAAACCGCTTGGCCAGTAAAAGCGTGCGACAGTGTCACAGCTGTTCCGACATCTCCGCGTGAATTTTCCGCATTTTTCTGAGAGCCGGGAAAAGTGAATTTATGGCGTGTTCCATCGGTGAAACGAAAGAATTCAACGGTAACGAGGTCGGAGCAAGTTTTTGTCAGGCTCTTTTGTTTTCCACCATTTGCGTTTGCTAATTTTTACTTGGCATGAGAATATATGGGGGAGAAGCTTGTAAAATGTCACGTTCTTTAGCGAGAATTTTCGACCCTTAAGAAAATGCTTTCACGCTATCGGTACAGACAGAGAAAAGAAAGTTATATTGTAATTGTACGAAATATTATAATATTCGCTGTGGAAAATGCGGATCAGAGATGTTAATACATCCTTCATCGATGAAACTTAGTTTCTCAATTATGAAGACATCTCTGCTTGAAAATCTCGTGTGTCACAGTGTCCCTTGGGACTCTTGTCCCAAGGCGTTACAGGAAATAATTTTCTAGTTGCCCGTCGCATAGAGTAAACTTCGTTATTCTAACTACATCTACGATGTTACAGGTTTGCAGGAAATATGCAGGGAACTTCTACCAGTGTCGACTAAAATTTTAACGATCTCTGGCAAGCTTCTTCGCATACTATGATGAGCTCCCCTTAAAACTGATAATAGATTGTGCAACAGCTAAGAAAATTAAACGCTGTAAAGCTATCGTTGAAACTCGACGAAACATCGCGTATTCCACGGGAACTAATTCAATTTCTCTTGTGAAATCGTGAGCAAAGTAATCTTTGCTTATTACTGAAAGTATGCTTAATTGTGTGATTTGAAAGATAATAATACTAACGCGTTAATTACCTTGGAAGCCGTAAATGTATTCTAATGAAATAATTGATAGAAGGAAAGAGGAAGAGAATTTTCAATGGCATTATACTATTATTAGCTTAGTGAATTCAATTAATCTTAATACTGAAGGTGCTTAATGCGCCGATATTTTTAATGAAAAAACTTTTAAGTTGATGTAACCAAAAATAATCTGACCCTAGTATAATTTATAGCGCAAGGAAATTAGAAACATCAACTCTCAGCCGTCGTGAATTAAGTAAGAAACTTTTCCTCGAATTCACCGGCCTGAAGTCCCTTAATTACTTAAATTAGTTTATGGCACGTGCGAGACTAATAAGTTACAAAAGTGTTCCAACGATAGTACTCGGTAAACCCTGGGGTGCTAGCAGGATGTCGACAACTTTAATGCGCTTTACGTATATTACACGGCGATGTTTTATAGAAAAGAAGAAAAATTATTCTACAGGACAGCCCGTTCGAAAAATCACTACGTATTAGTGTCAAAATAATATTAAATTATTGGACATCAACTAGCAGATTTGAAAATGTAGGAAGTCTGGCAAAATTTGATGACATAAAAGTATTCTAAAATAGCAATTACACTATGCCAATTTGAAGCTTAAGATTTATAAAAACTCACTACATAAGGCTTTTGTTAAAAACTGACAAATTGTCAAAGAATGGTACCTGAATTTCCATGTGCTCCATTGCTTGCTGTAATTAAAAATCAGCCATTTTGTATTAAAAATATTTATGAAGCGTTTACGTAATTATTATTATTAAACCTTAAGCTTTAATTTTGCAGTACTTTTATGTCATGAAATCGTGTTAGTATGCAACATTCTAATATCAATGAATTTTCATTCGAAATATCATTTTCTTCTTCTTTTTTTCTTATACTAAACTAGTAATGAAGCAAACTTCGTGAACGAGAATAAATATTACATTTTCTTTTGAAGAATGAGTTCAAGTTCCTATGCACTGTTCCATTGTAAACTCACGATTCGCGTTAATAGGACAGTTGCGAGATCATGCTCGTTGAATAGTTTTGTTGTGACTATCTGTGACCCTTTGTATTCGGGTGAGATTCGCGTGGAAAGTTTGCCTTGCTAATTTGCGGTGAGCGATCGCGAAATCACATCCATTAAATCGTTCGTGCTCGTCTCTGTAAATCCGAGCTTTTGTTTCGCGTGATAAACGCCTTTTCGTTTATTTATGTTAAATTTTGTTTAGCAGGTATTTTAGCTGCGATCGAAGAACGAGAGTAAAAGAGAGATTTATTCATTCACTTACCGTGGTGGAGGTGCTCGAACTTCGGTGTTGCATCACAGGTGGACTTCCATGAACCCCCTGAACGTCAGAATTTAATTGACGGTTTACAACGGACGGCTGATGGTGCTGCGCCGTCGGCTCTATGTCCAGGTAGCAATGAGCCTCCAGGTGACTTTGAGCTCTTCTTTCCTCCAGGACTATTTTACGCGCGGCACAGAATATCTTGTAATACACCTGTAACACGAATTATCCTCGAGTTCGATCTATATCTCTGCTTTCAAACTCTAAATCTAATATCGAAACGCGACGGAAAATCAATAAAAATCTAGGCTGACATGGAAACGGTAAAATCACTGGGTAAATAAGCGAACCGTTGACCACAGGACAGGGGGATCGTTAAAATTCAAAAAATTTCTTTTTGTTTTTCCAGCTGGACAAGAAGAATTGATTTTCGATGTTGCGGTCCCGATTGATTGGACGTTTCACATGTGGCAAACAAACCCATGGAAATAATTGGTGGGAAACCAACGTAACGAGTCCGGAAAATAAACGGTCGCGCGCACTTTCGCGGTCGTGTGACAACGTTAACGTGAATTGACATAATAGCAGTGAAATAATTGCCAGGCCGTCGTACCATCGTCGACGATCAACGAGTGACAGTTTTATTGCCAGCCGTTGCTTTAATTAATGCGATAAAATGTGACCTGATGTTTGCGATGGATAAACGCGATCTAGTTGCCGGATACGTTTCCACGAAACTTATTTATCGAGGACGTGAACTGTGTCGTAAGAACCTTTTTTGTAGATCATTCCAATAAAACCTTCGAAGCAAAAATTTGCGATGCTGTGATCTAGTGTGTTAAGTACATTAAATGCAATACGAAAAATGTATATGTTTAATTTTCGCTAATGAAAATGTCGATGTTCTAGGCTCCCTAAGGAAAGTCCTACGCGAAAGCATTTTGCTAATTTCACTGGACATAATAACGTTAATAGTATGATGAACAATACTAATTCGTACGCATTAATACTATTAATTTGTAACACATTTCGGTAATTTTAATATGGGATTCTCGGTATCTATCGCGTATAACGAAGTTGGTCGTCAGAAATTAAATCCACGCGAATCCGACAAATTTTCAAATTAAATTATCTTGGAAACGAAGCAATATACGAAAAAATTTCATTTCACATTTTCAATTTATCTTTGCACGTAGAATAATCTACTTTTTGGTTGTACCGGTTACCTTGCCTATATAACGTAGAAGTTCAATTAGTTTGAATTACGAAGGGCTCATTCTATTAGGAGTTAGTCTAAAGTTCGAAATTATAATGATCGCTTTCGGTGATCCACTTGCTAACGTAATACACTTCCTAACGCATTAATTAGGCTTCATTAGAGCCAGGTAACTAACTTTGTTGTCGGTCGATGTATTATTAAACTTCGATGACCCTCTAATCAGTATAGACCGTCGCCGTCTCAATTAATTTGATAAAGCTTAACAAATCGGGACAAGGCTGGCTCTCGAATATGATGGATGAAGGAAGCTAAACCAACGCGCAAGAAATTTAATCAAATTCAAATATCATCGTGGATGAATTTCAATTTAGACGAGAGACACTCCGGTTGAAACGTTTAAGTTTATTCAAAGATTAATTGGAATCACTTCGTGTTTAAGCACTTTTAAACTCGATTTAAGAACTGCTCTTAAGTTTCACTGGGGGCCACTTTAAACTGATAATTAAGTACACTTTGAAATTCTCGAGAAACTCGAATTTCAAGCTGCTTTGTAAGCTGTATAATTTTCACTGGCCATTCGAACGGTTTATCCCATTGTTTATCTTCCAATGGTCAATTGTATTTTACGGGTCAGTAAGGATTTCTAAGCCATAGAATGGGAAAACGTGGGAAACAATATATGGAAAGCAAACTTACCTGAATCATCACGAACAAAGGAATGTAGAAGCTGCCGAGCGTAGCGTAGATTTGATAAAAGAAATTCTGGCAGACTACACAATGAGATGCCCCAGTCTCCGAGTAAGTATGCTCGTTTCCCATTATCAACAACGGGGGGAGACTGATACAGGCTGCTCCTAACCAAACGAGGCTCACGTAGATGATCATCCGTCGAGGTGTTCTTTTCACCCCATATTTCAGTGGCTTTGTGATAGCGCAGAAACTGAAAATCGATGAGACATAAACTGTGTTTATCTTTGATGAAGCACGGCTACATACTGAGGAAACCGAACAGGCCCGTCTAACGTCGAGGGCAATGGAACCTCGTTTTGTTTGCATATAGGTTCATCCGAGACGAGACGTGCCGAGTTTAACTTATACTAACAATAAGTTTTATACAAAGTAATATAAGATATTTTTCTTTATTTATATAACATTAGTTAGATAGTTAATTCTTAATTAATTAGTTAGTTGATAATTAGCAGTTGATAAAATAATGTAACATTACTGAGAGAATTAAACTCACCGATCAACGGAGATCATGCAGAGATTGAGGATGCTGGCGGTGCAGCTGAGCACGTCGAAGCTAACCCAAAAGTCGCACATAAATGCACCGAAGGACCAATTACCAGAGATCTCGTACAGCAACGCCATCGGCATTACCAGAAGGGCGACACAGAGATCGCTAACTGCAAGGCTAACCAGCAGATAGTTGCAAGGCCTTCGTAGCTTCCTAACGAGAAACACGGCGACGCAGACCAGAATGTTGCCGATCACTGTCCCGACGATGATGCTGCCAAGCACCAGGGCGATTAGTATTGCCTGCAATCAGATAACTATCCCTATTACATCCTGACAAATTCAACACGCTAAACAATATCACAGAATTTCAATTATCCTCTGTAGATTTGACAAATATTTGTCCACCCTTTAAAATAAAATAATTCTTTTGAAATTATTTAAATGTCTTTTTTTTTAAATTAAAGTAGGTTATTATTCATTTTTTTCAATTTTAGATAGAAACTTAGTGGCTAGAAAAGGCAGAGAAATTATTTATTACCAATGCATGAATATTGAACGCGAGTCAACCTGACGAGCCAATAACCTACTTCGAGCATAGATGATTCAAAGGTGAATAGGATCGATATTAACCGCGATAAAAATGTGTGGTGTGCTTTTGTCATGGAACATGCTACGCAAAAATTACGTAATGTCAGATTCACACCAGCACGATCATTGTTCTCTCGCGTTTCCGGTAATTTCTGAGTGGTCCTACTAAATCACTTCTGTTCGCCACTCTCGTCGGCGAAATCATATTTTTAATGGAAATCTCTGTGAATGAAGTAATTCGACGGACCTTGCGGATAAATGAAATGCAGACTTTTAAATCAAGAAATTAACTGTCAATCTAGATCGAAGGAATGAAAAGATTAGATTTTTAATAATATTGTAACGTGTAGAATTTACAACATCTGTCCATTTTCACTATGTCGGTCGAATTTCACATACGAATTGCAAAAGCAATTACACATTCACACACCATCAGATCGTATCTACGAAATTCAAAATGGAAAAATATCTTCTCAATTTTGACAACAGCGTGTAATCACGTAAAATATCGAGCCCACGCATATTCTCTCTAGCTATTCCAATATAAATTCCAATATAAATAAAATATTCCAATAAATATTTTATCGGAATGAAGAGCGGTTCCCGTATAAATTATCATCGAAATCGATAAAAGGAACAAGTTACACGCGTTCGAGTATCGATTCGTCAAATTGTCATTAAATTTTTCAACGTCAGCCGCAACGTTTCAAAATCAAACCTCGTTTGTACGAGTCTTGATCGTTAATCAAATTAATCTTTTTATATCATTAATCCGACGAAATTGCGTATTTCGATTATGGAAATCTCCGAAAATCATGGACGAAATGCAGGTCTTGATTACGAGCCCATTAACGACCCGATAAACTTCGATAATCTCTTCAATACGTGAACAGTTTCATGGGAAAATGTTTGGACGTAGTTAAAACGATTTGAAACCAAAAGTTTTCAATCACTCAATTTAAGGATAATTGAGATTGGTGATCTATCGATTTTTAGGATAATTAAGGATGTAATAAAATCTCTGTTAATATAAATTAAATATTATCCTCACTTGAAGATGTTATCTTCATTAACGCTTGCATTTTTGCTTCCGCTCAACTTTCACTAATACAGTTTCTCAAACACGAGAACATTGTCGTCCAACTAAAACACTTTAAGTTGAAAAGCTGCTCGAGTACTTTTTTTTCCGACACGATCCTCCCGAGCTGCTTACGAAAAGGTTTTTTCGTAAAAAAAAGGAAGAGTGTCACTTAAACTCAGCCCGAAGGAAACTAATTTCGAAGTTCACGGGATACTAACACGTATTACGGAAGTTTCATCGAACACCTCGGATTCCTCGACCGCATTATAATGGAATTTTGAAGTGGATTAAGAATGCATAAAGGCGTAGGATTTAAGGCACATTTTTTCGTCGGTGGAACCTCCGATGGAATTCCAACGAGACAGGACTTTCAAAAGGTCCTTTAACAGAACACCTAGAGATCTGCAATCTTGATGCACGAGATCTCGGCGAAACGAGAAGAAAAAGGGGATAAAGAAAGTGGAAAGATTCATAGCCTCGTATAAATATCTTGGTTTTTATGATTTTTTTTCTTGGGTATTAAAAAAGTCAAACGCGATCCTCTGCAGTTATTCAAACTTTCCTTACTGAGGGCAGAAAAACTCAGAAAGATTGAGAACAAAAGGAAACTACGTTGCAATTTATCGTTGATTATCTGAGGGAACAGAAAAATGAAACTGAATGTTTGCACTGCGCTTTACACTTCTTTAACGCTGATTAAATTAAATCTGCGAAAGCAACAATTTAAATCTAATTTTGAACTGTATTCATTTTCATTAATTATAAAATTATTTTTTTAAACTCAGGGGATACCGTTCGACAATTAAAATAATTACTTGCCCAGACGAGTTTTTGTGTTTCTGGAACGAAAAGTTGAAGGTTCGTGTAAATTACTGAGTGTTAGTATTAAACATATGCAACTGATCATGTGTCTCATGAGACAAATAAAGGGAACATAACGCGGTCTAATTAATCGTCCAACGTTTTGCCGAATGGCGATTTTAATCCATTTGGTTGGCGTGATGAATTTCGAGCTCGTGCAAAATGAGTTTTGGGAATTCAAGAGCCGCTCTCAAATGAATTATACACGCTGCTGTAATTTCCTATTTCAAATAGCTATTTCGAATTCGATTAATATATTTATAATAGATATTTATAAATCTGATAATTTTTAACATTTGCTTATAATTTTGAAAGTGCTATATGTGAGATACCTACTATCTAAAGTACGAGAAAGCCATGTATGATACGTGATATTTAACCGAAACTATTTCGTGATTACAGCGAAACCCATTAAAGTTTCTGTAACTTTTGACATAGCGAATTCTGTCGATACCAGGCAAAGATTATTGATCGAAGATTAACGTGAGAGCCATGAATAATTATACCAGACTAGATTTGAAATAAGGGGATGTCGAACGCTGTCGTTCGGCCAAGTTCTTGCGGTCGAAACTTTGTGAGCTGTGCAATTAATGACGAGTATGTAATTAATTTGCTTCGGGCAGTTGCTTGAGAAATGAACGGAAGATTATTTATACGTCCTATGAATTGTGTTCTCGCATAATGCTATTAATAATAATAAATAATAAATAAAATAATTGCCTCCTTATTAGTGCAACCCCTTCAATTAACAAACGACTGAACAAATCTGTCGATGCATGTGAAAGAAGGAAAAGAAAATTTGACTTACCTGGGTGGCCGTGTAGGGCGAGTTCTTGCCCGGAAATGTTCGCAGGAAGTCGTCGTCGTCTTGCGTGGCGATAGTGGTCAGGTTCAGAAGCAGGGTGCCTTCGGTGGTGATTGCGTTCTTCCCCTCCATACGAGCCTAGTCGGCAGTCCGGAGCATCCGAAGCGCCCCCCTTGTCGACGGCTACCTCATGCTCCCTTACTCCTCTCGACCATGGGATTCCTGCGAGATACGAGCCGTGCATGGGAATCTTCTCTTGATTCCTGGACCCACGATTCAGACCTCAAGCGCTCGTCGTTACCCCTCGACCGACCCGTCTCTGAAACAATCGTTTCGATAATTGTTACAAGTGGGTAGCTCATTTGTATCCAATATTTGGGATCAATGATAAAGAAATAATATCGACAGAAAAAAAATTACGAATTAAAAATTAATTCTTTCCCAGAAGAGTATCTAAACAGATACAACTGTTGAATGAAAGAAAAGGATAAAAGAGGGATGCAGAGCATCTTCTCCTAACTTTCGATTTATCTTAATTACAAGATCTTAATAACTTCATTTATTGTTATCATCGAGTAGATTGCACTTGGTGAAACTATTTTCCGAATGAAGCTCCAAGTGAGAGGAAACGTGAAAGTAATAAATTGGGCGTTAGATCTAGTTCACCTTTCGCCGTTCAAATTATTCGAATTCCTGGGATTATCCGATACCACGCGTGGTATCCATAATTTAATCATAGAGATCACGCGAATGCCTGATAATAGAACGATATTTAACGTAAGAACAGTTATTAAAGAATCATTAAAGGGGTTAATATTTTAATCCCCATCATTTTGTAGTATTATTTATTTACTACGAGATATGTTGCACAAATATTATGAAAAGCGACAACGACAATCCCTTAGCTATCATATTTCAGCGCACCTTTATCCGCGTACTTATCATCCGCGTCGTACACCGAGCGTGCACGACCGTAGCCGTTTCTTCGCCGATAAACTTCACGTAATCGCTCTAGCTAAGCCCTTTTTAACCTGTTATCCATTACAGTGAATCATGTCGTGTCATTCAGCGTCGTTGCGTTGCCTAATCGTACTCCTAAGTCGACTCGTAACTAGACAAGTTCCTTTATGGAATAGCTGACGGTGCATTGGTCCCATTATTTCCTACACATCCTGATGGTCGAGTTCGATCACGGTCACAACACCACCTCAACGTGTTCAAAATAACATAGTAAATATTAAACAACGAGAAATATTTCCATAATATTTTCCTCGCGAATTCAAGTAATTTTCAAGCAACGTATATTTTTGTCACGGCTCCCGCACTTCATTCTAGCGTAAAAGGGTTCATTTAAACAGAACTTCCCGTCCGTGGATCTCGTAACAAGGTACCAGTTCCATTTTCACCAAATGGAGAGAACGAAACTGGCCAACATCGACGAAACTAGAAAGTGACGTCCAAGTAGTATCTCGTCGAGAAGGTTTTACCCCCATGGGCGCTGATTGCAATGGCTTGTTTGATGCTCAATGTTTCGAAAGTTTTCCAGCAAGGCTCTTGTTACGAGAGCGAATAACCGAAGCGGAAGTTTCCTTGGATCCTTCTTTTCTTCGACGATTATAGCTTAGGCAGTTTCCAAATATCGGGGCTGATAATTTATTGGTTATTCAATGGGGTGAGATCAGGTGGAAGAGTTCAAGGTTAAGCTCGATTTATTAATAACGTCATCAATAAATTTAACTTTCTTGATACGAGGATAAATTTGCCTCTTTGTTTGTAAGAAACAGATTCTGTTATTTTTATGCAACACTCGATTCGATACCTTTTGTAACCATCATAGTAATTTTGATATGTAATTATCTTCGCTATCACTTTTTATTTTGACAGTTTCAAAATTGATAAATTTTTAATACGTACTATTAAGGCTCTCAAATGTAATTTTCTTAATTAGCCATTCAATTCATCAAATATATGACCATCAAAATGTTAAGGGTCAAAATAGTCACGTTTGGTTTCCACTATCGGAAGTAATCGGGAAGCAGTACGCTCGGGTACGCAGCCACAATGGCATTTTCTCCAGAGAATATTAATTTACATTAAAGGCAACGTTAAGGATATTCTGTTCGTCTGATCATGATCTTCAAAGGAACTCCAGTTCAAAGGTCCAATCCAGTTAATTGCTAGGGCATACCGATGTGGCACGCTTTCGCGCTCAAACACGTCCCAAAATCGCAACGCAAACGATTGCGCAAGAGAAATTAAGTGGAATGATAATTACATATGATATTTGTCTGAAACTTTAACGATACAACGCTCCAGAATCACAGTGCTATCAATCAAAAATGGACGGAAGGGGAGGAACAGAATTGGGTTAACAAATATATTGACTGATTCTCTTTCAATATTGGAACTCATGATAAATCCTCGTTCACATTTCACGTATTAACATTCTAACGAGACTTAAAAACGATTTCAGTCCAATGAAACGATAATGTTACATTTCGAATTGAACAATGAATTAACCATGGTACGAGAGATTCTCTGGAGTAGTGGCGTTAATTGATCGCGCGATACAAGAGCCATCGAAAATCGGTTTCCTCTATACGACCCTGGTCCAATGCAGATAACAGTTTCGAAAATCGAAGCTACCCTTTTATTTCTATTTTTTTTTTCACAAGAAAACTAAGCGATTTCAAGCTCTTTGCCCTCTTCAGTTCACTTCAATTTATATAAAAATTCGACGGTACAACTCTTTCCTTTTTTCAAAATAGATTCAATTTGTGTAGAATTGTATAACAGGTACAAACAATTTGATGGAAGAAATTGAATCAACTGGGTTGCATTCAATTTAGTTAACAGTGTTCGGATTTGAGGGGTTTATAAAATTTGGTGTATCATTTAGAAAAATGTTTTAAAAAGTTTTCGTTTAAATTCTAACATTGTTCTTGTTAAATTTTAAAATTCTATTCGAATTTTATAATAATCTCATTAGAAATAAAAGTATCTTTATTTTGAGATTTTTCATTCTTAAAGCAAACCGTCAATCATATCGTCTTCAATGATCGACACCCACTTGCATTCATTATTGTAAATTACGAAGCTCATTTAGAATTCACGAGCAAATATCAAACGAGCTTCTAGTTTCAGTTACTTTCAGCTAAACGGATACAAGAACGTCCTAAGCGAGCTTCAGCTGTTTTAGCTACTCTACTCCAACATGTATGATTAAACTTTGAGCAAACTTTTGACGCGATACAAACTGCTCTACGCCGGAAGTAGTATCAACCCATCTTACAGGATGAAGTTCACAAAAAGATATAAATATAATGATACAAATTTTGTTCTAATTGATTCATCTATGAAAAAATATAGAAGTCGAAATCATTTATGAAATGATCTGATTATTATTGTTACATATTGGTTGAACACGTGGATAGCCTTTTTTTCTCAAAGTAAGTTATAAACAGCAATCTGACGATCTGATCCCATCCGGAATGGAGGTAGCTCGTGGCTGCCGCTTTCGCGGAACTTTCGCCGGATTTAGTTAGGTTCAGAGGCGGGAAAGGTTGAACGTTAGTTAGAACTGCTTAGCGTGTCGTTGTAACGTGAGTTCCTCTTATTTCAATGGCGGCACGTAATGCAACTTTCGCGTGCATTCCCATCGATCGGCCCGAATATCGCCGAAGTAATCTGCGGAGCGTAGGAAATAAGGGAACACGGAATAACGGGAGACCATTTCGAAGACATTTCTCTGGCTTTCTAGCTCCTCTAACTTCCCATGATAATATCCGATTAGATGCATAATTTTGCTGGTGAAACGAGCGGTCCGTTGTCGTGTAACCATCCACGGTTACAACGGATCTTAACTCAACAACAAGATTAATTATTTCACGTTTCTTCGTTTCGTTTTCTTTTCTGCCCCCCCCCCCCCCCGGTCCTCCATACATTTTCATTAGAGCGCAGCCCCGTAAAATATCGCTTTACAGCCAAGCACATGGGGAATGAGTAATGGACGTTCGTGCTTTATTCATTTTCGTGAGTCGTGTAACCGCAACGCTTGTCGCGGCTTAAACGTTTCAAATAAATACACCGTATTTTCTGATTTATCGAGAACCATGCTTGCATCGTGCGCTGAGTCAATAAGCTTTCTGCTGTTCGACTGCGGTGTAATATTTCCATTCCAGAATAGTTTCTATCAAATAGGGTTTCAAATATCGCAGCAAAAGTTGGCTATTATCAGTTCAATAAATTGAATTATTAAATTGAGTGAAAATTGATTGGCAACGATTAACGATGAAACGAAAAAATAATTCTTAATATAATCTTCTGAAAAAATTTCGTATTTCTGTAACCTTATTTCAAGTAAGTCATCTCAATCTCTTTGCTGAAGCTTCTTTCAGAAGCTTTTCTCATTAAATAGATTCATAATGGATAGATGAATAATTTTTGAAAATCCGTAGCCAATTTCTCGGGCGGCACATCGAGAGGACCAAGGCTATGAATAGATATCAACCCTGATGCACGACGAATCTAAAGCACCCTTCTCCCAATCTCTGAAAACATATCTAGCAAAGCTTCCAGCCGGTCGTTCTTCTTCCTTTTTCTTCTTTCCACGATTCAGACAGCACGTGAGCATACTGCCAGACTAATCGTAAGGGTCATTTTTGAGAACAGTTACCACCATGACCCGGTGGCACGTAGCGTTCGAGTAGTAAGCGATCTTGTGTCTGGCGTCGGGGAGCACTTAACTGTTAATGTATCTGCGGCTGGTGGGCGTGCTGTTTGGAGAATCGAGTCGAGAACGAGCCTCGACTATACCTCCTCTGTGATACCGCCTCTATATGGTAAACAAACTGGAGAAGCTTTTAAGAAAGTACTGTCACCTCTTCCCGAACTAGATAAAGTGGATGGCGTGAAAATGGGAACGGCCTTGAGTGGCTGGATCGTTTATGACTGGTTGATTATTAAATTACTAGGTATTTATGATTTCTTAATACCTATACAGAAAAATTTGTTTCATTCCCTAAGTACTTCTATTTTTCTCTTTTTAATCGATTTTTATAATTAGAAGTTCTGCCATATTTTTATACCAAAGGAATGTGAAATAAAATAAAACAGCCAGCAATCAAGATGGCAAATTAGAACGAAATCACGACAAATTTTTCTCCAAACAAAGAAAATGACAAACCGCAGTGGTTTGTGCACGCATATGCACGATTCGTGGTCATGATCGAGGGTGTTCCGTGACTCGACCCCGTTAATTAGCGCTTTTACTGGCCTTAGGTTCAAGCTTCGTTGAAATTGCTAGCAGGTTTCCTCGCATAAACCCTCTACGACACCTCGAACCAACCCCCTCGTGAACGCGATAGTGACGATTCCATTCGTAGAATTATGCTTGAAGCATGTAGCGAAACGCTGCAGAATTATTGTTCTTTTCGCTGTACGCTGATGAAGCGTACGTTTATTAAGAAGAGACAAATTATTCTAACGATTTTTTGCAGTTTAAGAGAAAGCTTTATTTTTTTCAACGATAAATTGATGCTCCAACAAGTTTTATTCCCTAATCGTTTTAAAGGATAAAACTCGTCCTATGAAAGAATTCAAGAGTCTTATGAAAGTTTTCCTATGAAAAAATTCAAGATGGAAGAATTTTCTTGCGAGAGAGTCGCACACATTTTCTACTTATGCAATTTTCTTTTTCTTTTTACTTTAGAACAACATTTCGAGCACGGAGTAAATTGGAGGAATTTCACGAAATTGCGTTTAAGCAGTTCTCGTAGCTGTTCACCGTTTCAGGTAAGCAGGAGCCCTATAATTTCGTTGGTAAGTCGGTCAGTTGCGATTCAACTGATACTCGCATGGACAGAGTATATCTTGTTCGCAAGATTACTTGCTCGTTGGGTTATCGAACGCGTGATTTAAGGCCACACGTGCGGGAACATTCTTAAAGGAATCGAAATCTTCTATCCAATCTAAGCTTTAACCCTTGCTTTACTTTTAAATACAATAACGATGTAATTTCATTTTAAAAATATTTTCTTACCCTTTCAAGTTAAAAAATGATTTAAATCATCTAAGTTTGGTAACCTTTTCCTACAATATTTTGAAATAAAAATTTGTTCGAATAAAAAGACCAATGGTGGTTTTCTAGATTTCATCTAATTTCAGAGACGAATTTTCTCGTCCCTTTTTCCGTATAAACAGAGAATTACAGGGAAGAAATTCTGCCAGGCTTCGAAACAACCCCCGTATTTCGTGCAGAGCACGTTCGAACGAAGCTTCGACATAGAAATTTCCAACTTACCCATAATTTGTGACAGTAGATTGACATTCTCGGCATGTGTCCCGCGGCGTTATCGAACCACCACAACTACGAAGATCCCGCATCTAATCGATCCTACCCGCTTGATTCTGCTTTATGACGAGGGCCAATCCCGTCTAACCTCCCCTCGATTCTTCAAATTTACATATCCGCTGCTTTCACACCTTTCGATCCTCTTCGACAATGATTCTTTATCAAAGAAACAGGAATTCAACATCGATGACGTATCACCATTTATCATCTATGTTCTTCTATTTCTTTCGATATCTTTTTTTCTTTCTTCTTCTTGATAAAATATTTTAATTTGCTTGATTCGTAGTTAATTTGATGTTGAAATTAATTTTAGTCCGGAGCCACGGTGGTGTTTGGAGAATATCTGAAAGAATAAAAATATCGTTTTCAAATACATGTTCCAAGAGTAGCAGAAAAATAGAAGACGAATGAGATCTTTGCTTGGGTAGGCTGATATTTACGAGCGGAAGATGGAATATGTATAAGGGAGAAAGATTGAATGTTATAGTATTAAATTGAGGGGGTGAAATCAATCTTGTAACCTTCCTGAAATTTGTACGCTGGTGATAGAAAAATAAATGATCAAATTTTGGTAAGCTTGCCAGCGAATAAACGCTTTAAAAAAGCAGCAATTTTCACGAAATCCTTTTAAATACGTCTATCATATTAGAATTGAGGCTATTTTACGAAAAATTTCCCCTGGAGATATGTGAATTCTACTGCCATAAATTTCCCCACGTGCGCTGTTTAAACGTGAAATTAATTACATAGCACCCACAAGCGACGAATTAATTAAAAACTCTTAATGCGGTTGTCGAACAGAATAACACGATAACGTATCTCTACCGACGAAAATTTTAACGTAAATTTAACTTGCAATTTTTCCTTTTTTTAATCAACCTCTCGTTTATATTTTTATGCTCGTACGAACGCAAAGTTGCCAGAATAAATACCGCGACATTGGTTAAACTTATACTGCATTAAATCTTTTTCCCATTTTCTTTTTTTTTCTTTCAAAATTGAATATGTAATTTAGTTAATTTCAATACGAACAAAATTAGTAATGCTCCACGACAAGGTTCTGCAACTACTTGTACGATGTATTCAATGTTAAAGGTCGTCTGTTATCGATTTATTAAAATTAACGAGTCGTTTTTTTAATAGAAAATACAAATGTTTCTACAAAATGGAAATTTACTGCTAATGTCTTTCAAGCAACACGCAAGGTTCAATTGCTCAGTAGCGAAATGGTACTTTAATTTACTATCCAATGGATGTGTTGTTTATTACAGTTTTATTATTCCAACACTGTGTACAGCTAATGATATGCAAATAAATTATTCTTCTATGGAAATTTAAATGGGAATTTTAGCCTTGAATTTTATACCCGGCAGCTTAATGAAGCAGTTGATGGCATAATTCAAATTAATTTGAAGCCTGCATAAAAAGATTGCATAAATATTTGTGATAAAAATTTATGATTATTTAATATCCAATTTCTCATTGTGGAATATCGACTAATTATGTCCATAGAAATTGAATTTATCATCTGCTTCATTGTAAAAAAATGTAGAAAAACTTTTCAAGCTCTATTTTCAAAAGAAAACCTGCTGGAACCCTCGGTATGACTTTAGCCAGTCTAAATTGACCGTGAACAATAAATTCAATTAATAGACACCAAACACTAATTCTTATAGCAGGGGTTCTAACGAAATCGCTGTTATCTTGTTTTCTTCGAGTTTCTTTGGGGAATGAAGATTATAGGGAACATATTCTGAAACTTTCGGTTAATTAATTTCAGGGGACAACTTTCTTACATAAGTTATAAGAGTTTCCAACAACTAAATATCAGTCTGGTATCCATTACGAGATTACTGGAAGAATCAAATTTAATATAACTGTTCTATAATTTTTAAAATAGAACAATATTTTTTTTTCTTTATGATCCTTAAGTACCTAATGTATTAACCCTTTGTTGGATTACCCATTTTTAATCCAATTTTTTAATATTATAAATTTGCAATCTTGGTGAAACGGGCAGTTAATTTATTATTTTAGATAGCATATTTGTAATACGATTCAACGGAGGACTAATTTTCTGTTCAAACAATAGCATAAATCACACCTGAAACCTTCTGACCCGATACCATCTGAATAATTCAAGAAAAATTTCGCTGAAAAATTTCAATTCCCCCCCAGTCACGTAGCGAAAGTATAATGCACTTTGCACGGCTTTGCATGCCACTTTACTTTCACCAGTGAAGTAGCTAGACGATTTCTGCGACATGTTCGCAACACATCGTCGCTAGAAAGGCCACGGCCCGACTATTTCCACGTCTGCTTCGGTCTACCTCATAAACCTGGATCATCCTAGCACCCTTTTCTACTCCCATCCAGCGATTCATCTCTTCTTTCCTAAGGATTACCCAAGCAGAAACTGCTTTTACCAACGTCATCACGAAACGATACTTCATTGTCGCGTGACGTGATGTACCTCACCACTTTTCTTTTGTCATCACCGATCCAGATGTTATTTTATGGGATTTTGATCTAACCCAGTTATCAAGAAGTAAATCGTGCAATTATTGCTGGATATGGAATTCTGTATTGTTAAAAGCAAAGCACTATCATGCGATCTGGTTATCTCAAAAAATGTCAGAGAATGTTATCGCACCCAAGGGTAATACTTTTTTGAAACAAGTTTTTTAGGAACAGATAGAGGGGTTCAGGTTGAGATAAGGATATGGGATTTTTGTTACCTTTCAGTCAACTCCGCTAGACTGGCGAAATTTATGCAAATATGATGTGCCATGAATATGCAAAGCATATGCAAAATGTATGGATACTGTATGCAGAATAAAATACACTAATTATGCATTTCTGTATGGATTTGGAGATTTATAGGTTTGCTTAATTGTACAAACTATTAGAAGAAATAATTATGCACATCAATTTATTCCTCCAATAAACTGATCTAATTGGAAATAATAGAAATATTCCAGATAGATAAAATCATTGGCCTAATTTGTATTATTCATCATGCCTTTCGAAATCCATTTATTTATTAACTTTCTGAGCAAATAATATTAAATTACAATTATCATCGTGATACCATTGAATTCACTCAAAGCCGCATGAAATCAATTTCCTGCTCTGCAATGTAATAATGTCCATACAGTTAGCAAAGTATTTTAATAAACGGATTCGATGTACTAATTATCCGGATGATCCACGTTTCATTTAACGGCGCATCAAATTGACAAGCAATAAACGCTAATGCGTTTCTATGAATTTCCAGTTGGAAATTCCTTTCGACGAAAAATGAAATAAATCGTGTAATAACGCCAGCGAAGCGTTCAAAGACTATGATGTACAAAGGACATCCCATCGTCTTGCAATATTTCCTCCAAACGATATAGAAGCTGCTTCTCTGTGACACTCGCAGAACATTCGTGACATCTTCCGACTCATAATTAAAATTTTCTCGCTTCTTTGTATCGTTCTTTGCACTTTCTGTTCCCAGAAGACGTGAAAGAAAGGCTTTAGTATGATGTGTTCAGCCTTGAAATTTTATTTTAACTACTTTGAAGGAGAAGGACACTTGTTCCCTATGCTATGTAATTATGCATAATTAGAAGTACACCGGGTTGCGTGTAACGAGGGTCACCTGGTATCCTTGCAGATTTATTAAAAGACGAATATGGTTATTTTTTCTGATCATCGCGAAGGATATGTAGAAGTGTAACAAGTTCAAATTTCAAAGAAAGAAAATTTCAAAATAAAAATTTATGGAAGTTAAAGTATCGAGGATATGGATAATTAAAATTATTTTACTTTCATTAATTATTCCATAATATTATTAATATTTTTTCTAAATGCCTTCATAAATGGTAATGGATGCTTCGAGGCACGAAAAAATATCGTGCAAAAGTTTCAACTCAACGATAAAGGTGTTGAAGTAGAAACTTTGTACGGGTCGTTACTACCCCGTAAATAAAGAGGGAAGTGTGACTAGGGTAACTAACTTTCAACACTTTCTTCGTGCTCTTCGTTCGTGTAATTTAAACGTTGGGATCACCCTCTTTGTTCCACCTTTTTCCATCTCAATACCATAATGTAGGGTCATTTACATAACGGGGAGAAATATTAGAAAGTCAATTTAGAAACAAAATTGTGCAGTGCATTGTTGGTAAAAAGCAAATGACAGTTTCTAATGAAAATTGATTGTAATATAATTGTTGCAATTTATCGAGGAACTGTCGCATAAAACAGGCTGATCCTCATCGAACGAGGCGATATTCGATGGAAAGGCTGGCCACGTGTTGATAAAAAGCTCGTTCCCATCTTTAGGGGGAATTCATCCACCCTCGAAAGTTCGAACCTCGACTAGGTTCAAATAAAAAGCAGAAAACGTGGTTCACGCTGTACCGATGGATTTCGTGGTCGTAGAACGTACAATCAACCGGATGATTTATGAGTACCCTGCAATTTTTTGCGCATTTCGTCCCGCCTCGCATAATTTCCTTCGCGAAACTGCGCCATCATCGTCACGCTTCCATCCAGGATCACGCTGCTTCTACGATAAACTTTGAAAACTGCTTTCTTCCAGATCCATTATGCTCTCTACTCGTTGAGTGACGTCTTTCATTTTCTGCTTTCCTTCACATTTTTCTTTTTCTTTTTTCCTTTTTCTTACCTTGTGAACAACGTTCAGTTTTACTTTCACGCTACTCCTATGAACTCTCCGTCAGAATTTTAATTCGGGACAAAAAGGGATTACAATGGACGTGATTCTTTTGTGCAAATAATGAATCTTAAGTGAAGTGAAACCAAATGGGTTACAAGCGACCCATCTAATTACGCCGGTGTGAAAATTATAGTAGGTTGGCAACTTTCCATATATGCTGGAATTTCATAGCGGAGGGAGAAGAATTCGTTAAAAAATTATTTTAAATTTGGTGTTGGAAATGATAAACAAATTCTCATTTTACAAATGGATCATTACTTTCGTATCGTAGGAAAGAGAAATTAAATAGCATTGATTGAATATCTGCTGAAAGCACAATAATCTGAAAGGTATTTATCGAGGATTTATCGAGGTAACTCTTTTCAATTATGCTGTAAATTATGCATCGAGATATTCGAGATCTATAGAGAGCAAGTTGCAATATTAATATCTCCAGTGAAATCAGAGCTTCACCAGGAGCGTTATTGCATCGTGCGTGGCCATGTAGGCCCCCAGAGTTTGGCACATCGTTCCATCCACCTATGCATGTACCTGCGCATTACAACCTACGATCCTATTACGTGCATCACGTGAATTGATCATAATGCTAGATGATGAGTACATGCGCCGTTCTATCA